GCTCCCTCTGCTCTGTTCTCCACAAAACAGCCAGGGGGGTCCTTTTAAAACATTCCTGTCAGATTTCCCTCTTTTGCTTAAAAGCCTCCACCAAAGGTCTAAAAATAAAATTCACTTATAATTCAGAGTTGGCCCCGGCCCCCTTTCCAGCCTCACTGCCAACTAGCCGCACTTGCCTCTGTGCCTCCCCCAACACACCTCCAGGCCTCTGCACAGCAATTCCTTTTCCCCGGAATCCTCTTCCTCCAAGTCCCAGATACCACGTTTGCTTCCTAATTTCACTCAGGGCTCTGCTCAAATGTAACCTGTCATCATGGCAGAGAAGCCTTCCCTGACCTCCCAAGTTCGTGCAGCCACCACCTACCTCCCCAGCCACCGCTCTCTAACCCCTGACTCCCCTGACTTGCCTCGATTCCCTTCAGACACGGCATATACTTCTTTGTTTACCATCTGTTTAAACCACTAGAATGTGACATCCCTGGGGACAGGGGCTTCATCAGATCCCAAGGACTAGAACAATGCCCAGAACATTGTAGATACTCAAAAAAAAAAAAAAGAAAAGAATAACTGAATCTACTGCCAAAGCCCTGGCTCCTCTTGCTGGGATAATCTAGCAAAGAAACTGATCATTGAATTCAACACACCCCCTACTGAAATCTGTGACCCCCTCCTCTGCACCGCGTCAGTGCCATGTCTGTGCCACTGATCACCTTTAACTGTATTTATGAATGGCGGTAATTCCCTACCAGACTGGGAGCTCTAGAAGGGGTGGGTCCTGTGCTGCAGCCCATGACACACACCTCGCACAGAGTCTTGAACAGCGGATGCAAATCTTTTGTTGACTGGACAAGGAAGATAAATTTCAGGACCAATCACAGTTTAATTTCTCTGTTACCCAACATGGCAAGGGGACCACCTTGCAGACCACTGCCCTGAAGAATCCTTTGGCCCCATTCCTAGGGAACCAGGATCTTGAAGTCAATTACAAATGCTCCCTGGAATTCTTTAGGTAGCAGGATTCCTTAAGTAGTGCCGAGGAAAACTCCTTGCAGAACACAATTTGCCAACTAAGCATAGAAAACCTGTGTGAACAGCAGGCAAACTTAAAGCTGCACTTAGTGAAATAGCTTCCTGTTATCTCAAAGAGAAATAATAGCATGTGAGACTGGCTTAAGGAGAAAGTGCTTGAGTGTAAATAGGGTCGTGCCTCACTCCCACAAATAAAAAAAAGGCCTTCAAGGGCTCTCCTTCTATCTACAGGATGTGCCCTGGAGTCCAGACCCGGTCCAGCCCAGTCCTCATTTCTGCACTCCCATCACCAGGAAGTCCCCATGTGCTCATTCACACTGTCCCCTTTGTCTGGCATGTTGTTCCCTCCTTCCCAAGTGGGTGAAACCCTACCCAATTCTTACACAAATCAAATGCTGCCTCCTTTACCAAGCCTTTCTCCACCTCTCCTGGCAAAGCACTCCTTCTTGTCACAGAAAACACTGTGCTGAGCTGTAGGTCAGCACCTATCCAACCCTCCAAATCATGTAAGTGTCAAACTTGGAGAGGACAACAGGACATGCCCTCAGGGAACTTACGCTCTGGTGGCGGAGACCAAAGCAAAGAAATATATAACTGCAAGCTGGGAAAAGGGCTAAGAAGGGAACAAGATGAGAGACACCATACAGCCAGGTGGAGATGGGGCATAACCACAATAGATGGTTGGGGAAGGCTTTTTGGAAGAGGTGACATTAAACTGGCACCTGATGGATGAGTAGGAGTTAGCCAAATAAAGAGTGGGGAGAAGTTTCCAGCACGAGGGCCCAGCACATGTGAAGGTGCTAAGGTGTGAAGGCTGTTGGCATAACCCAAAGGAGTCCTGTGTGGTTCCAGCCTCAGAATGTGGGGAGAGTGGTGTGATGAGAGGAGGCAGGCCTTCTCACGGGTCCTAATCACTCTGAATTACCATCAGTGGGTATTTCTGTCTCCTCTCTCCTCAGAAGAGCTGGAGAACATTTTACTCTGCTCTGTCCCCAGTGCAGAACAAGACACCTGGTGCACAACAGGCATTCAACAAGTTCCTGTGGGCTACACTGTCCCCAAAGATGCAGGTGAGTGATCTCTCACTCTGCCCATTCCTCCCACACCAAAAGCGAGTCCCCAGTTGGCTCACCTAACTGAAGCACCCGGCGACGGTTAACCACAAGACTGCTGATGGAAACACCAGAAGATGAAACAGGAGCAGCTGTAAGAGCTACAGTTATGTCCCTGACAAATGCCACTGGCAGATGTGACCACTACATGGTCCTTGGAGACCATTCTCAGGGTAAGCTTCAATCAGAAGGCAAGTATAGCACAAGAGGGCCTGCTAACATCATGTGCCCCCAAACTAACCTATTGGCGTGGAGTTCAAAATACCATTTCCAACAGGTAGCAGGATGGCTCAGCTAAAAAAAAACAAAAAAAAAAAACACCATTTCCAAGGTCAGCTGTTTTTATTCACAACGCTTCTGACAACTCAATGTATGGGTTCTTCCCTCCAGCCAACAACCCAATTCTCTGATCCTCTAGACACCAACTGGACGTCCTACAATTCTGACACCTCCTGGAGTTAGCACAGACCCACAGGTTAAGGGCTCAGTCCCACAAAGCTGCCCCACTTCAGATGTCAGTTCAAAGTCCCAGGTTGCCTTTTGTACTTCTGACCGATTATAAATTGGGGTTCCTACAACTCTCTCCTCAGATTCAATAATTGCTAGAATGGCACACAGAACTCAAGGAAGGGTTTTAGTTACTATTACCGAATTATTATAAAGGAACAGCCAAATGGAACAAATGCATAGTAGACGGTATTGGGGGGATGAGCGGGTAGCCTCCATGCCCTCTTTGGCCATGCCATCCTCCCAGAACCTCAATGTATTGACCAACCTGGACGTTGTCTGAACCCCCATTGTTTAGGGGCCTTTATGGAGGTTCCCTTATGGTGGCAGGACTGATTAAATCATTGGCTATTGGTGATAAACTCAATCTCCAGGTCCTGGAGGTCAGGGGGTGGGACTGAAAGTTCCAACCCTCTGATCACATGATAGGTTTCTCTGGAAACCAGCCCCCATCCTGAAGCTATCTAGGGGCCCACCTAGAGTCACTTTATTAGCATAAACTCAGATATGGTTAAAAAGGAATTGTTAGGAAAACCAAAAGGTACTCCTATTACTCAGGAAATTCCAAGGGTTGTAGAAACTCTTCAGGGACGAAGACCAAATATGTATCTCTTATGGAATCACACAAGGTTTGAGTGGTTTCTTGATTTTCTTTTTTTTTTTTTTTTTTTTTTTAACAATCCAGAAGATGCGAAGACAACTTGGTGAGTCGAAGGAATTTCCAAGCTACCCAGCTGCCCTGCCCTGTTCCTCCTGTGAATTCGCCCCTGGCCCAACCCAGAATTCTGTCACTTTGAAGAACACACTCATAATTCTTCAGACCGCACTTTGAACTCTTGCTTTCTGGCTAATGGATTTTGAACTATTCTAAACTAATTATTTAGGCTAAGCCAAGCTATGGTTTCTAACTATTTTTGAAAGAAAAGGGGGGCACAGGGACATTACACGTACAATAGTTTGCAGGCATCTTATGAAGAAACATAATTAAGAACCATTTGCCTAAGTCACATAGGCCACTGTCTTCTCTGCTCTGTAAATATCTTCTTGTTATTTTTTAAAGTCCTGTTCTATAATCTTTTCTACAATAGTTCTTCATGTTTCCTTCTAGTGAGGATAAAGAAAGAGTTGCATATACTTTCTTGTGAAATTCTACTTCTCTGTTCTAAAAGGCCTTCCTTCACAAATGCTATTCCCTCTTTCACAAATTCCTTTCCCTCCTCTCTTGCCTAGCTAACTCCTTGTTCTCTAGATCTCACTGTAAATGCCATTTCTTCAGAAAGCCCTTCCCTTACTTACCCACCCAGGCCAAAGTAGGCCCCTATTAGTCTCTTGTAATATCCTACAGTATCACTTCATGTCATCTGTCATAATTTGTAATTACACATGTGTGTGCATTTGGTTAACACTTACCCTGTCTCCTTCCCCATAAAAGTATAAGCTCTGTGAGGGCAGGGACCATATGTCAGTGTTGCTCACATCTATATATCCAGGGCCCAGAACAGCATGACACACAGTAGGTATTCGACATATATTTGTTAAATAGTTAGCAGCTTTTCTATAGAGGCCTAGGACTTTCTAAAGATGGTATGCCCGGCACTAGCTTCTAGTATCTTGGGATACAAATTGTTCATGGTGTCTTCTCAACACAGGGCCCCATCACAGCAATAACCACATTTTTAAATGTCTGTTCTAGTCCACACGGTGTGTGCTTGTTGCTTTATATCATTGCTAATCCTCACAATGGCCCTGCAAGGTGGGGATTATCACCCCATTTTACAGACAAGGACCCCAAAGTTCAGAGAGGTAATTAAATTTCTCATCGTCACGCAGCTAGTAAGCAGAGGCACAGCCAGAACTGAGACCCAGCTCAGAGGCCGGGGTCAATGCTCTTTCCACTCAGTCCCTACTTCTCAGCCAGGACGCACCCTAAGGGTACACTTCAGCAGGCCTGAGCATATCAGAAACCACAAGACCAACGTATGACCCATGTCTGGTATTTCTTTTTTTCCCTAACAGTAAAGAATATATTTTTGTGTTTAAAAAAAAAAAAAGGCATATTTTAAAGTGTATCATACTAAATTCAAAGAAATTTAAAAAACAAGACACAAAAGTTGAAAGACATTGCATGCCTGTTGCCCAGGCCTGTCTCAGGAACCTCCATGGAAAAGCATGAGAGGCACTTATTTGTCTGTCTTTCTTCACTTTATGTCCCTTTATCTTGTTGCTCTATTTTTTTTTTTTTTTAGCTGAGCCATCCTGCCACCTGTTGGCAGGCAGCTCAGTGGCAGCTCAGCTCGGGCCGGGAATCGAACCGCTGTTGCTCAGAGCTCAAATTGTTGCTCTATTTTTTAAATACTATCATTCCAACTCAATTATCATTTCCACTCCCGCTCTCCTTTCACTAGGAGAATTAAATGTTTAAAGAAAGTGGCAGTGTGTCAGCCACAGGCGTTATCATTTTCAAAAGCGTTAGTTATTTATGAGGACAGCTTTTTGTAGGTACAATAAATCTGATTTTTATTACACATCTTAGTTTAGAACCACTTTTACATTCCTAGACAAAGAGATGATACAAATAAATATCAACTGTAAAACTTAGAGCCCCAAGTATTGGCATATTCTTTGTCGAAAGGTAGCCAAAGAGAAGGTCAAGATCAATAGTAACTTCAAGGAGCCATAAAGCCCACTGCCTCCTTCCTGCCCCAGGATCACTCCTTTCAGAACTAACTTCAAAAGCATTTCATTCAAGAAACAAAGGCAGGGAGAAAGGTGGCAGATTTCTGAACAGTACAAGACAAAACCTTGCGAGATAGACAATAGGCAGGCCCACCATTCTTATCCAATTCCCTCTGAGCATTTTGATTATGGCTTTTAGAGTATATCAATAGCCCCATTTTTGTCCACTGATGGTGTTGATATGGCCCAAGGTATTGCTTGCAGTGAGCCTCCACCTCAAGTGAGAAACGTGAGGCAGAACTGATATCCCACGGTAACAGGGAATCGACACTTCTCAGCAACTTGGCAACAATTCTACGTTCAGTGGGGGAGGGAGGACTTACAAGAGTCAGACAGGAAAAGCAGAGAGCGGCCCGCACCTGAGCTGCAGAACTCTCTGACGCCCTTGGTCATGGAGGTGTGGGTGGTGCAATTCAAGCAGCATGCAGGCATTCGACGGGAACGATCCAACGTTAGGTCAGAGTCTTAAGAAAGTGCTTCATGCCTATGACTTGTGGCCTCAGGTTCTGAATCCAGGGGTCTGGGAAACATGTGACTTTAAAATAAGAAACCAGGTACATTCCTACTGATCAGAGCAAAAAAGGGGCCTGATGAGGTTGCACACAGTCTCACGTCCTTTTCCCAGGTGATCTTCTATCCTGCTAGCTTGCGCCCAGACTTCAAATAACCGCTGCTGGCATGAAGGTCCTCGGATGGTTTGGAGCATTCCAGCATGACTGCGGACAGGAGAGCCTGGTCTCTCACTGGGTTTGGTAGGTCCTCTAACACATGTGGCTCAATTCAGGGCCCGAAGCAGCAGCTTTCTGGTAGCAGTAAGACATTCTACTGTCTGCTCTATTCAGATTTTTATCGGATCCGTTTTGAGAGAAGAAAAGCACCACAGACTGCTCGGGAAGGAACGGCTTCTCCTCCACACAGGTGTTCTACCTTTTTCCCAGACCACCAGACGAACACAGCTGAGTATAAGGCAAGCTTGTTTTAATAACCCTGCTCGTCAACTTGGCTTTCTTCTTTTGCCTTCTTAGAAAAGTTCTATGGTCCCGCAACCACCCTTGGTCAGAATAGCCACCTTGAGACACTGGTATTAAGGTATCGTGTTATCTATAGTGCTCAATTCTCAGATTTGCCAGATGAATATTTTCAGCCTGCAGAAGTCAGATTAGCTTTGAAAAAAATGTGGTGCAAGAAATAGGTGTCGCGGGCAGAGAGCCATGTTAGGCTATCCACTTCATCATTTGGTTCCTATTCAAACAGGCAAATTCTGAGTAAATTAGAAAGAAGAAGGGTTTGATCCCAAGAAAGATGAGGGAAGGCTCCATTATGCTCTGGGAATTGCTGAAGAGGGCCTTGGGTTCAGAAAGAATGGTAACTAAAAAGCAGATGAGCTGCCAGATGCCAGATCTCCATTTGCAGGATGCTAAGACATTGCACTTGGCACCTCCTCTTTCCCACAGGTTCTGATCCAGAAATGTGCCCTGGGAACTGAGCAGCTGAGCTAAAATATAACTCAAGGCCCACCTGAGTCGCCACCTTCCTGAGGCACCGTGCCAGCAAGGTACACCAGTGTGGCAGACCTGGGGACTCACACTGTCCCCTCAGGCTTGGCTCATGGAGTCAGACACCCACAGGGGAGTGCTTCCAGCCTGGGTTAATCATTCAATGGGCCTTTCATACAGACAAAGGCAACAACTGTACATTAGTGTATTTCTGAAACTGGGCAAGTTCTTGGTCTCTATCTCTCTCTTACAGACACACTCAAAGAACACAGGCACCACTGTGCTTGCACACCCACACACACTTATGAGCTTCTCTTGGGGGAAAAAAGGAGTAACAGTCACCTAATGACCAACATAAAATGAACTTTGAATTTCAATAATACAGAGAACGAAAACCTACAAACCAAACTAGTATATGTAAGCAGGAATTCCTAACTCTCCACTGAGCCTATCCACTCCCACAGCCACTCCCTGCCATCACCTTAGGTTCTGCCTGGGAGGAGCCACAGTTCTAGGATTAGGTGAGTTTTTTGCTGACGGCAAGCAGGGTTCCTTTGCTTCCATGTGTTTTGTCTTTTCTTCCCACTGCACTGAGCCTCATGTCAGTCTCTGTATCTGCCCAGTCACCCCTATGCTCTCTATGCAAATATGGAACAAAATGGGGAATTCAAAAGTGCCACTACATGTCTCATTCCCCCTACTCCTGTCCCATCAAAGAAGGCAGAGGATGGGCCCAGGCAGGGATGCTCAGAGTACGCAGACATGGGAAAAGATGGTGACAAATGAAGAGTAAAATGACACGGTATATGGACACAGCATCAGCTTACAGATTTACGTCTTGGACAGGATGGTCATGGTTTTGAGGCTTTAAAGAAGCTGTTTCCTTCCCTAAACTCTCCAAGGAGGCAAAGGGAATGTGATTTCTATTGCTTCCAGCATTGAATCCTTCAGGAGCAAAAATTGGTAGCTTCCTCGGAAAACATTTCCTCATTGAGATCCCAAAGGCAGATCCACTTCTTACCGAGGACCATGGATCGTGCCCATCAGGGGCTTGGATCCAAATGAGATTTCTCATTGCTACCTACAAGAACAAGCACCTATTCAAGCTCTAGGGCTTTCACTTTTCAACCTTGCTGTCATTTTATCCTGAGGCTCCAAAGACTTGGTCCCGCTGAGGTGACTCCTGATTCTACCCTGCTGTTCCACAAGAAGGGAGCCCAGTGTCAAGAACAGGCTAGAAAAGGAGAGGGGAGAGGGAGAGAGGGCCAGGGAAGGGAGAGGAGAAGAAGGCAAGGGAGAAGGGAAGCAAGGTCACTGGTCATTCTCTTGCTTTCCACTCTGACGATCACACTTTACCTTACCCATGCATTTCTGAGATGCTAATTGAAGGACGTTTCCCAGAGGAGCCGAGTGCCAGGTTAGGACCAGCACATTTCAGCCAGATCAAGTTGGTTAATCTGCAAAGAGGCCAGCGCTTCTCCCCAGGGGAATGGTTCTGAGTTTGGGCTCAAGTGCTCTCTGTAGGCGTTTGCTCATCTCTCCTCTCAGAAGGCAAATGCTATTTATACCCCGGGAGAGGAGGAACTGGCTTTACTTTGGAACCAGTCCCCGAGACTGTGGATAGAGCTGAGATGCAGGGGTTCCTGAGGAAGAGGAGGAGGATCCCGACTTCCTTCCGCTTTTTGGCCTGCAAAAGTCAAGCACATGTTTGCATTACACAGCCCATCTCTGTCACTAACACAGGTCAGACTCCTCTCCCATAAAGTGCCATTACCATTTCAAGGTGGCCTTTCCTCGATGGCCTGAAAGCCACTCTGTACCTTTTAACTGTAAATCCACCAGACTGGCACAGCATAACCCTCTGCACATGGCCAACACAACCGGCCAGCCGAGGTGCGAAACTTAGGGTAGGGACTCCAATTCTCAGCAATTGTTCTTCCATTTAAATCAAATCTTGACCGCCTTCTCCAAATTGGCAAAAAATATTAAGTTTCCAGGTAGAAGTTCTTCCATTTTTGGTTTTTCACCTAGTTGTTTTCCTTAAACTTCTAGTCCAGAACTTACTAAGATAGAATTTTAAATTTTGCACCAAATTAAGCACTTGGTTATTTAGATGGGGCCAGGGGCGGGGAGGGGGGGGGGTAAATTCAGCGCATTGGGTTGTGAATTTGGATAGACCTAGGTGTGAACCCAGCCTCTGCCACTTACTTCCTTGAACTTGGCTACTTTCTCAAATTCCCTAAGTCTCAATTTTCTCATCCATAAAATGGGATTGATGATAATATTCACCTTGTAAGTTTTTGCAAGAAATCATTAAGAGAATATTTTTTTAAAGTACTACTTAGAACTGCCTAGTACTTGGTGGGAACCAAAGAACTGTCCCCTATTTCCCCTAGAACACATGCTCCTTATAGTAGCTACTGGGCACATTAGGTATTCTGGTATTCAGTATACCTGGCATAATGTCTGAACCATAAATATTTGTGTAATAAATGAATAAACATAGGAGTAATATAGCAACATTTTCCGGTGTGTCCTGTAATGCGTTCCATGATAAACAAGCACTCTTGCCACACTCTACCTTCATTTGTCCTTATTCAAACATGTTCTGTTCAAACATAGATCAAAAGCCACTCACCTGGCCTTGGATTTCTTATTTGCGGTGCTTTCAAAGGATGATGCATCCACCTGTATCTCATCTTCGTCCTGCAGGGCCGCGTCCAATGCGGCCTGGACTTTGGGGGCAATGGTAGGGCCTTCATAGTCTCTGGTGGTCCGGCTGGGCATGTCCAGCTCTAACAGCACGATGTTTTCTGCCTGCAGAAGCACAGCCATCACCAACTGGGTTGGCCTCCAATCAGACAGAGAGACACACAAGCAATCTAGACCCCCTCCAGGAACACAGCTGCAAACTGCTTGCTACCCAGGGCCTACCAAAAACCTGCCTAGAAGAAGAGATGTAGTTTTATAATTTTTTTCCTAGTGGGATATCAGATGATTTTTATTTTCTTCTCAAGGCTTTCCTGTTTTCTTAAAAAAAGAAAAATAAATTTTTTTTAACAATGAACGTGTATGACACCCTAAGGAGAATAATAATAATACATTGAGTAAAACCCATTTGTTGCAGATAATATGAAAATACAAAAAGATACAGAGAAGAAAAGAGTAGTCACCAATAATCTCACCACCTACAGCAGGTTTGATGACCATTTTGGTTGCTGAGGGGAGGACGAAGGTATGGTGTATGTGTGTGGAGGTGGGTGTGTGTGGCAGTGTGTGTGCTTGTAACATTTTCCAAATCCGTTGAAGCCCCGCCTCATAATGGCCTGTGGATGGACTCCTTCACTTGATATGCTGTGGTGGTGGGCCTTCTCATAGCTCCCACAAACCAAGTCAAGTGTGTAGGGGAAGAGCACCCATGGTTACATCTTCTCCAGCAACTCCCCCTTGGCGGAGTTCAAGCCCCAGGACTCTAGAGGGGGCAGAAGGGGCCACTGCAGGGAGAAGGCAGAATGAGGGAGTGGCTCCATTTATCAATTTTACATATTGAGATATTGCTTAAAACTTCTTTCAATGGAGCGGGTCCACTGCTAAACACATTTGAGAGCCACTGCTTTAAATTCTACCTTTGGATTAGGTTAGCCCCCTGGACACCTACATACTTGATTTGTAAGCTTTCAACGCATATATTTGGCTTAAGACATGAAATAACTGGCAAGATATGTACCCTCTGAAACTGCTAGAAAAATGCTTCTGGGGATTCAGTCTGACACAGCAACTCATCTTCCACTGTATAAAACCCCATCTAATACATCCTTTTTGCTTTTGTTTTATTTATTTTAAATAACTCAGTGCCAGGAAGAACAGCACCTGAGGAGGTAACTAATCTTAATTTGTTTTTCTCTGGCTGACAAGGGAGACTCAAAAACATTTTAAATGTTTTAAGTGAAAACCTTTCATTATAAAAATAATACAGGTCCCCTATTGATAGTTATAAAATACAGATACTCAAAAAGGAGAAGATTTAAACTGAGTGCACTCCCATTAACCACAGATAACCAGTTCGCGTTTTGATATATTTTGCCCCAGATTTTTTTTATTCATATCTATACTTGGTACCAATTGTTTTACAATTTGATACATTGTATCTCCAGGTTCGTCCACTTACCAGCTGTTTACTAAGTCACCGGACTAGAAAGCAACAAAGCACTAAGTACGGTGCCTGGCACACAGCAAATGCTTATGACAGAGGCTCGTACGGTGTTATTATTATAAAATATGTATGGGTCATTAAATGGTCCTCAATACTGTCACTTTAAATAACTGCATGACTGACCCACATGATGTTAAATGGAAGTACTGTAAATTCTTTCCCATAGCTCTATCTCCTGTCACTGACATCTATATTGTTCCCAGTCTTTCCACAGAGCCATTTTGCAGCTTAGTGTTAATGTTTATGGGCCATTATGGACAGAATGCTGTACTCACCATCTTCCCTTGTCCTGACTTTCTAAATCTCATCTATGTTACCTTTTTATTTATTAGTATTTGTTATTGTTCTTCTTATGTATGTATTATTTGTTAAAATTGTTATATTAATATACATGTGCTCAGGTATATTTGCAAAGAGTCAGGATATAAACTCTGCGACTTTGCAGAACGGTGCCTAAGGGTTTACATAAACCTAAACTCCTCTAGAAGAGAGAGACAAGAAATACAAGAACAATCTTCTCACCCTGTATCGGGCCTCTGGACGAATCATCATGGACATTCTTGCGTGTTGGCTCAAGGGTCGCTTATATCCTACAGCTGAGACTGGCCGCTTCATCATCTGCTGATTCCTGGAAATGGACCGCAGTGTTTAAAGCCCTGGCTGGCGTGTGTTCCGCAGTCCCAGGATCGGGCCCGTGGAACCAGCACTCAGAAGACTCTGAGCCTGCTTAAATAAAACCTGAAGCAAATGACTCCCCAGACTGAGGGCTGACACAGAAATGGCGCAGGAGCCGCTTTTATTTTCTCTCTGAGTTGCTTTCTGATTCAAAAGTGAACATCTTGTAACTTTTAAGCTGGAAGAGATTTGACTCATCATCCAGTTCTTAGATGGTACGTATGAAGCATAGCTGTTAACACTCTCCACCCGTGTGTCCTTGGCCGACATCTCCCATTTTTCCAGCATGACCCAGACTTATACTGAGAATCCTTCTCAACACTGTGTCAGACTGACACTCAAGATAACACCTGTGTACCGCCCCTCATTTGGCCTAGCACCCTTCACCTCACAGCTGGGAAAGCTGAAATGCAGGAACTTAGGAAAGGTCATTAGTTCACTGTGATACAGTCTCCAGTTCCTAATACCATACTCATCAACAGAGTTTTACCTCATGGACTTATGGCCATCCCAGAGTGAGATGCAATTGGTTCCAACTTCAAATGAATCAGACTATGTTTTTACCATACCCCTCTGGCCAAGTCCAGCTTATCAACATTCTTTCCCTCCTATCCACCTTAAAGTCAACTTAAAGTCAGTAGTGACTTACTCCAGTCTGGTTATAGGATGTAATTTCCAATGATCTTCCTCTTCATCAAAGAAGGATCTATTCATAATTTTACTTTTTTCTTCCAGAGGGATAAAGTTTTCTATAATAAGATGCCTGTAAAAGCACACATACATGGGTGAATACAAATAAAGAATACAGGTAGAGTGCTGGCTATCTGGTCCCATGTGTAGTGAGTAATTAGATAAGTAAAGTCACGCAGCAAACATTTACTAAGCAGGTACTATGGGCCTACCGTCATACAAAGAGCTGGGATACAGACATGAATGACACTTGGTCCCTACCTGAGACAGAGAGGTAACGGTGCAGCACTCTTAGGTATGATAGGTGCTGAAAGTGGTCTGCCCTAGGAATATGGAGAGGTCACTTTTGCCTAAGGAGGAGGAGCTTGAGGAGGTGAAAGGACTGAAGAGGGAGGCGATGCCTGGGCAGTGAGCCTGTGCTATTTGAAGTGCCTTTAGGAGAGTCACTTACGGTACTGCTAACCCAGCTCATTAACTTCCAAAATGCTGAAAACAGATTAGAAATTAAACAGCCTTCCTCCAATCCCATGGATTGCTGCCCAAGCTGGAAAATGTCACATTCTAATCACCAGGACAAAGACCAGGACCAAATGGATTTCAGCCTCTTATACCTCGGAGAATGAAGACCATTCCTGAGAAGAGTCTGCGTGAGAAGCGCCCAGGGAACATGGCAAACAATGAAACTGGAACCCACTGGGTTCTGTCTCTCCATGGTGATGACTGTCTCCTGCCACATCTCTGCATTCACTCTTTCAAAACCTCAGGACAGAACAATGCCAAAGGGGTGTTAATGTGGGAGAGACGCAAAACAAATACCAGAGGTGAAGGGTACTGACTGTGAAAAACAGGTTGACTCATTGTTTATTCAAAAGATATAAGAACTATAACAATGAAAATGGCTTCCTTAGGGAAAAAGAACATTTTGGAGAGATGAAATTTTCTCTTTATTTTATTAGACATTTAAGAAACTGTTTTTCATATCTTACGAGTATAGTTGTTTTGTTTTGCTTCTGATTTTAAAGGCCCTATATGCACATTAGAAAACGTGAAAAATACACAATTTTAATATCTAGAGATAGCTATTATTAATATTTTGGCATATTTTATTCTGATCTTTTTTCCAGGTATATATACTTAGAAAGAGGACTGACACATACATTTAATTTCAAGGACTCCTTTCCAAATTTAAAACTTGGGTCATTAAAAGCATCCCTTTGAAAATTCTTTTTTAAAGAAAAATTTCAGCTAATGCTGTGGAAGGACTGATATAGAAAAACATCATTTTGCAACCCCTAATGAAGTAATGGATCCAGACAAAGATCATTATTGGTTGAAACCATTAGCTCAATAGTTCTCAAGCCAAGCTGCACATTAATATCACTTACAGAGTTCTGAAAAATATCTTGCCCAGACCTCCTGACAGTTCAGTGGTGCACAAAGTGTGTTCACTGAAACAGCAGGAGCAACAAAACTGGAACTTGCTAGAAATGTGAATTCTCAGGCCCCACCGCAGACATACTGAATCAGACTCTCTGGGTACTGGCTCTAGCCATCTATGTTGAACAAGCCTTTCAGATGATAATGAAGTTTGAGGGCCATTGCCCTAGACCAATTAAATAAGAATCACTGGAGTGGGGCCTAAGCATCACTATTTTTCAAAACTCCTCAGATAATTTCTGTGTGCAACCAAGATTAAGAAGTAGTGCTTCAGGGCCAGCCGAGTGGCACGTTGGTTAAGAGTTGGCTTGGGAACACCAGCTCTGAGCAGTAGGGCCCCGGTTTGGATCCCACATGAGGGCCCAGTGACACTGCCCTCTACAGCTAAGATGGTGAACAACAGCTTGACCTGGAGCCGGGCTGCCGGGAGTCGCCGGCAACGGCAGTAGGCTGCCATAAGCTACGATGTGTGGCCAGCAGCCAGCGTGAGAGGTTGGCAGCCAGTGTAAGCTGCCAAGAGCCGCTGTGAGGGGCCATCCAGTGGCCGGCAACCGATCTGCCTCACCCAGGAAGAGAACAATGATCACAATACCAACATGGGCCAGTGAAGCGACATCCTCCACAATTAGACTGAAGAACAAAAAGACAGCAACTTGTCTGTTCCCCTTCCCCCGATTCCCCAACGCTGTTCCCCTCCCCCAATTCCCCAATAAAATCTTACAAAAAACAAACAAACAAACAAAAAGAAGTAGTGCTTCAGAGCTAGCTTTTAGTTAAAGGGAAACAGGGGAGGTAGGGACACATGTGGGATATTTCTACAGGCTATCTGACCCAGCTTTTTCAACAAGTCAACTATGAAAAAGTTCTTAAAAGGAAAAGGGATTGCTCCAGGTTAAAATAAACTTAAAGAGACATAATAGACAAATGCAATATGTGGTCCTTATATAGATTTTAATATGAATAAGCCAAGAAAATTTGAATATGAAGAGAGTATGAGAAAATATTAAGAAACTTAATGTTAATTTTGTTAGGTGGAAAGATATCACTGTGTTTTAGACATAACCAATTGTATTTCTATACACTAGCAATAGCATTCTGAAAGAAAATTAAGATGCCATATACACTGGCTTCAAAAAAATAAAATACTTAAGTATAATTTTAACAAAAGAAGTGAAAGGATTTGTACACTGAAAACTATAAAACAGTCTTTACAGAAATTAAAGATCTAAATAAACGGAAAGACATCCCGTGCTCATGGATCAGAACACAGTATTGTTAAGATGACAGTACTCTCCAAATTGATCTACAGATTCAACACAGTCTCTATTAAAATCACAACTGGATTTTTTGCAGAAATTGACAAGCTGATCTTAAAATTTATATAGAAATGCAAAGGATACTGAATAGCCAAAAACAATCTTGAAAAAGAACAACAAAGTTGGAAGACTCACACTTCCTCATTTCAAAATTTACTGCAAAGCTACAGTAATCAAAACAGTGTGGTACTGGTATAAGGACAGATATATATATATATATATCAATGGAAAAATACTGAGGGTTTAGAAATAAACCGTTACATTTATGGTCAACTGATTCACAACAAGGGTGCAAAGACAATGATGAAAAAGCTTTTTCAAAAATTGGTGCTGGGACAACTTGATATCTACATGCAAAAGAATGCATTTGCAACCCTACCTCAGACCATACAAAAAATTAACTCAAAATAGATCAGACCTAAATGTAATTACCTAAAACTGTAAGATTCTTAGATGGCCTAAGAGAATTAAAAACATTAAGTCCATAATAAAATTTGTACACAAATGTTCATAGCAGCATTATTCATAATAGCTAAAAAGCAGAAACAGCCCCAAAAGTCTGTCAATTGATGAAAAAATATATAAAATGTGGTATATTCATATAATACAATATTATTCAACCATAAACAAAGAATGAAGTATTGAAACATGCTACAACATTGATGACCCTTAAAAACATTGTATCAAGTGAAAGAAGCCAGTCACAAAAGGCCATATTATTCCATTTATAGGTTTATATGCAATGTCCGGAATAGGCAAATTTAGATACACCACCAAAAGTTCACGCAACAGAAGAAAATATATATAAATTGGACCATATCAAAATTAAAATCTTTTGTGCTATAAACAAAATACTATCAAGAAAGTGAAAAGATAAACCACAGAATGGGAGAAAATATCTGCAAATCATAGATCTGATAAGGATTGGTATCTAGAATATATAAAGAACTCTACCAACTCAATAATAAAAGACCCAGTAAATAACCCAGTTTTAAAACAGGCAAAGGATTTGAACAGACATTTCTCTAAAGAATAGATACAAAAGCCAATCAGCACTTAACAAGGTGCTCAACATCATTAGTCATTACAGGAATGCAAATCAAAACCACAATGAGATACCACTTTCATACTCATTAGGATGGCTATAATCAAAAAGACGGATAATAACAAGTATCAACAAGGATGTGGAGAAATTTGTGGTGGAAATGTAAAATGATGCAGCCATTTTAGAAAATGGCTTGGCAGTTCCTCAAAAAGTTAAATACAGAGTTACCATACAATCTAGCAATTCCACTCCTAAGTATATATCCCAAAGAAATGAAAACATGTCCATACAAAAACTTGTACATGAATGCTCATAGCAGCATTATTCATAATAGCCAAACACTGGAACCCAAATGTCCATCAACTGATAAATGGATAAATAAAATGTGGTATAGCCTTACAATACAATATGATTCAGCCATAAAAAAATGAAGTATTGACACGCTACAGCATGATCCTTGAAAGCATCATGGTAAGTAAAAGAAGCCAGTCACCAAAGACCACATAGTGTATGATTCCATTTATATGAAATGTCCAGAATAGACAAATTTATAGAAAGTAGATTAGTAGTTACTTAGGGCTAGGGGCAGGGGGTGATGAGGAGTGATTGCTAACTGGTGCAGGGTTTCTTTGCCGGACGGGGTGTTGGGGTGCGGGGTGCTAAATGTTCTAAAATTAGATTGTAGTGATAGTTTTACAACCCTATAAATATATATTTTTTAAAAAGTGACTTGTAATTCCATGTGGAATTCAACTACTCTGAGTTTTCTGGATAAAGGGGAAAAAAAAGTGACTCGAATACTTTAAATAGGTGAAACATAAAGTATGTGAATTTTATCTCAATGAAGCTTTTTAAAAATAGCATTGTGGTCATGTATGTAAATATGCAGGAGTGAGATAACACGAGGTAAGATTTGCTGTAAAATATTTTTATAAAAGACAGTTGACAAAAGATAGTTTATCGCTGAATCGGGGTGATGGGTATTTGGGTGTTAATCATATCATTCAGAAAATTCTAGTTAAAAAAAAAAAGATTCCCTCTTATCAATAGATAGAGATGAGGCCAGAGCCTTTAAAAGCTTCAAGAAGGTAGGGTGGAAGGAAACTTGGCGATCATCTGGAAAAGTCATTCAGTTAACAGATGGGACCCAGAGACAGAAAGTGACTTTCTCAGGAATACACAGAAGACAAATAAGGTGTCAGGAGCTGAGCTGGGGAGAAGTAGGCAGGGGCCCTGTCCTCGGGAGAGTGTTTCTTACTTAACAAACAACAACCCCAACAAGTCGCTGGGAGGTGCCATGGGAGGTCCAGAACTTACTTGAGTTTCAGCTCCCTGGTAAGCTCATTCTGAGTCTGCTCCAGCTCCTGACGCTCCTTGATGTGCTCTTCCTGGAGGTCATGGATCTCTGCTTTCACCGCCTGAAGCTTGGAGAAGAGCTGGAACCCAAGGGAGAGGCAGGTGAGGAGGGGACCCTCTAGGCAACAAAGTTCTCCCTTTTTCCCCCAGGCCTCAAGACACCTCTGTCCGGCCTTGTTCTTTTTATACCTTTTTAAGTTTTTTGGTCTTGATGTCCACCTCTTGCTGCAATGAGCTATACGTCTCTTTAAGTTCCAAAGTCTCCTCATCTCGACTTTCCATCTGTTGCTGGATTTCTCTTTCTCGACGTTTCTAAAGCAATATCACAAAATTCATCAGCCTGCCTTGAGACAATGTCTGTACAAGAATACAGGGCTGGGTGCTCCCAATCAGTCTCCCAGTAGGAAGGGGCTGCCACATCTCACTTCCATTCCCTTTAAAGAGTTTAATTCAAGACATATTTCCTCTGTAGCATTCAGATACCTTACTCCGCCCCATTCTCCCCCAAAAGGAATAAAAAGTTACCTGCTCTGCAATTTCCTGCCGTTTCTGCTCCAGGATTTTCTGCTGTTCATTTGTATGATCTACTATATTTTTACCTCCAACAAGCAGCTTACTCTCCATGGCCTGAGTGAGAAAAAAGTAGAATCCATCTTGTGAATGGTCTCCCTCAGAACATATCTCCTCACAGGTAAGCCCATAAAAGATAAAGAGCTAAGAACTGAGCCAAAGTGGGTGAACTTTGAGGAAAAATACGTATACTGTGCTCAGCTGTGCCCTTCCCATCACTGGGACAGAGCCGAGGCAGCTCCACTGGGGGCTTTACCCTGAACACACTGAAGATAACTGCTTCTCCAGATGTACATGAACTTCAGCTTGCTTTTTAAAAAAATAGGTTTTTTGGTTTGTTTGTATGAAGTATTGGCCCCACTCAGAACATGTGAAGCACTTCCTATGTGCTAAGTAGTAGGGATGCAACTGTGACTACAAATCCAAAGCCGAGAGTCCACTGAGGGCCACAGACAAGAAAGAAGGCTCTTACCACACGGAGTCAGATGGCACCATGAGGAAAAGACAGAGTAATAACAGGAGAGGCGCAGTGGAGGGAGAGAATTCTGGCTTTCGGAGGGAGTCCGAGAAAGCTTCCTATCTCAAGGGACATGTACACAGATTGCTGCAGTAAAAATAGGAATCAGCTAAGAAAAAAATATTTTGTGTGACAGGGTAGGATAGGGAGTGGTAATACATGAAGTTGGCAAAGAAATCAGGGGTCAGTTCAACAACCTCAAAGCTCTCTTAAGGGAGACTGAACTTGATCCTGAGAACTACAGCAACCACTGACGTGTTCTTTGAGCAAAGAGGTACACAACCAGATTCATGTTTTAGAAACATTACTACCAGGCCACAGGAAGAATGACTAGAAAAGTGCAGGCCGGGTGGAGGAAGACCAGACAGGCAGCTGTTTTGGGGGTCCAGGCCCAGGCTAGGGCAGTAGTGGCAGGGGAGAGCAAAGGGGACGGGTTCAAAAGATTCTGATGAGAGAGGAGTCAGGGACCATGGGACCGACTGGGCCCTAAGGGAGAGGGAGGGGCAGCTCCTAGGAGTCTGACTTGACAGAGAAAAGCAAAGCAGGAGCAGGCTCTGGGTGGCCAGGGGAATCTGCATGGAAATGTCCAGTACGCAGGGGCTATCTACCGTGGATGTTAGGAGATAGCTCTGGGCTGGCTATACAGATCAGGAGCCTTCAGCATTTAGATGGTGGATGAAGCCACTGGAATGATTTGCACCCAAATAACATGGAATCCAAAAGCTCCACAACCTTGCTTTTAAGAAACTCATAAAGTGGTCTGGCCCAGTGGCTCAGTTAGTTAAGAATGTGAGCTCTGAGCAACAGGGTCACTGGTTCAATTCCCACATGGGCCAGTGAGCTGTGCCTGAGCTGAGCTGCCACTGAGGTGCCAAGAGGTGGCAGGATGGCTCAGCTGTTGAGAGCACGTGCTCCTGACAAACAAGGTTGCTGGTTCAACTCCCGCATGGGATGGTGGGCTATGTCCAACCACAACTAAGATTGAACATGGCACCTTGAGTTGAGCGGTCGCAAGCTGCCGACGGGTGGCCGGATGGCGACTGGACTTGGAGCTGAGCTAGCTGCGCCCTCCACAACTAAGATTGAAGGACAACAACTTGGCAGTTCCCCTTCCCCAATTCCCCAATAAAATCTTTGAAAAAAAAAAAAAAGAAAAAGAAACTCATTAACATTAACTGTAGCCCAGCTGCCATCTTTCACTGAGCCCTTGAGACTGTTTCCTCTTTTCTCAAAATGAAAGAGCTAGACTAATTACTACCACCCCACTACACACACACACACACACACACACACACACACACACACACACACCCCTCTCTTCCAGGTCTAAATTCTTTTGTTCTATGATCTTACAGCAGCCAAGGATTGGGAAAGACAAAAGTAATGTCATTCTCCCGTAGAAAAAGCTTGTAAGACATTCAGTGACCTTGAAGCAATGCTGAGTCTTGCCACACTCAGCTTCTGAGCGTTGTCCAAATACCCCAGATTGTTTAGAGAGTCTCGGTGTTTCTGGGCTTGAATGACAGATGTGATCCTTAAAAACGGCATGCAAATCAAACATGGGCACACCTAGTTACACTTCGAGTGTAGGTGTGAGGAGGCGGTGATGTACTTGACATGATGGAATCCAATACTACGCTCCTCTCTGGAACAAAGCTACCTCCTAATTGTGTTGTATAGGACTCCATTTTCACATCGGGTCTTGAAAGTCCGGGGAAAGACCCGTCTCCGAAAGAAAATAGTACCCAGCTCTGTAAAAGGGCCACTATGAAGCCACAGATAAATAGTATGGCTTCATATAGTGGGAAAAGGGGATGTGAGAAAGAAAGCACTTGTCACTTTTAAAGTAATAAACATAGATACATGTTAGAGGAGAAATTACAAGTTTACATAAATCCAATGAGATGGAACTCAATACTTCAGAGGAATTTTGGCTGTGGTCAGGCAGTAATCATCCTCAGATTTCCAGGGCTAGCTTTGTACTCTCCTCTGCCATTAAAGCCCTATGGCAGTCCTCGGTCCAGGTACACTGTCGCGTTAGAGAAGACTCGACACAGGGAAGCGAGCCTCTACGCTCTAGAATACTACTCAGCCACTGGCACACAGGGGTTGGAGGCTGGGGAAAGGGGTTGCCCACAAGGGGGTGATGGAAGTGTTCTAGATCTTGCATCATCACGGCACTGCATATTAAAACCACAGTGAGACGCCATTTTTTTTTAAAGGTTTTATTGGGGAATTGGGGGAGGGGAACAGCATTGGGGAATCGGGGAAGGGGAACAGACAAGTTGCTGTCTTCAGTCTAGTTGTGGAGGACGTTGCTTTACAGGCCCATGTTGGTATTATCATTGCACTCTTCCCGGATGAGGCAGTTGTTCGT